TTCTGGTGTAAACTCAAAACAAAACTTGTTGACTATGGCATTTTATTTTCTGCACTGATCTGAGCAGATGGCTCTGGAACAGCTTTAGACATTATGGTGTTTCTCAGATGTACCTAAATTTCAGCCACCTGCATGGTTCCAAAAAGACAAAGGAGGATGAGAAGTCTCCAATTAAGTTGCCTCTGAATTCCAGGCCACTTTCTAGAACTGAGCAACTCCCATTCAACTGGAGACCTCTGAATGTCTCCCAGGTGGTCTGCAAGCCCAGCAGTTTTCTGTGACGATGCCTTCATTTGGGTTCTGGCAGAAATTAATAACCTTTATGGGTATCTCATCAAAACCAGACATTCTTCCCACTGAAAAATAATGTGTGCTAATGAAGTTTGGAGAATTTAAGGCTTCCCCCCGCCCTCACCCCAGTGGCAACCAGAAGCAGATGGAGAAGGTGGTTCTTAGGCATCTGTTGGCTTAAAATGTCCGAGGTTCCTTTTTCATAAGGGGCTAAAATAATGTCCATAAAAAGCTGAAAGCTCACAAATACCAACCCCAGTGTTCCCCATTTAGTACCTACACATATCCCCACACCCCAACAGAAAGAGCCAGGAGCAGATTAGAACCAGGAATGTGGCCCCTCTGTATCATCCTTTCTGATAATCTAAACAGAGTGCCACAGCAAGAGTGAGGTCTGGCTTCTAAGTGGCAACAATTTCACAACCTTCACAGGCACAAAACCAATTCAGATTAGAATACACAGTCTCCAGGTCAGAGAATGAATAAAAAGGTGAAGATCTGAGGTCCATTTATACACATGACCAGCTGCTTGACCTTGGCTGAGTAAGTAAACTTGCTCCTCCCAGAGTTGTGTCCTTAATTACAAAACAGAGATTTAAAAAAAAAAAAAAAGCCTCCAACCAAGGGAAACTCCTTACAAAAAAAAGTTTCAATACAACTACACATCTGGATGTTCACATGTTATAGGTATGACCAGTCTACTGGTCTCATTATTTATAAACAAATAGTTACTTGGGATAAATCCCTGTTGGTTTATATGGAATAATTAAATAATAATAACAGTTACTCTTTTCTAAGCAGGCAGTTAGTATAATAGATATATATGTGCATAATCCAGTCTGGCAGAAGGTGGCAGACATTCCCAGTTAAGTGTATACAAACCAGGGTTTTGATAACTTAATAAAAGAGCAAGTTGTTTAAAGTGTTGATAGCAGATTTGGGGGAGGGTGGTTAACGTGAAGCAGAATATCAAATAAGATTAGAATTTATATTAAAAGCATTATGTTTGTCAATCAACTATGCCCCAATATAAAATTTTTTTTTTAATTTTTTAAGAATATACCAGGGCAAAAAAAAAAAAAGGTATTATGTTCCCTAGGTATGTAGCAATCAACCAGAATATGATAGGTAATGTGGTGGACTTACACAGAGACAAATGGATTATCAAATCCATATTTATGTTACCTACATGTATTTACTTCCCTACATGGCCCTTATCTTGCTTGTCCATGTAAGAAATAAGGGTGACTCACACATCTAGGCTCAGACAATGTAGCTGCTAAATTAAATAATGTGCAATTCCTATTTACACATCATACATGTCCATCGATGCTTTCATATTCTATCTGCCCAGATGTGACTACTTGGTTGTGGGCCCACCTGCTGCGTTCCCTTTGTGATCTGATCAGTCCAGGCGGCTCCTGTTTCTGCCTCTAACACCCTGTTGGGCAGTAATAAGATGTTAAAGGCAACAACAGACAGAGAAGCCAGGCTGTCAGCTTCAGAGGGGAAGGGGCTGAAGGGTACAAGGAGGAGGAATAAGAAAGGGAGTTGAAGGGAGATCAAAGACAGGCAGGAAGAAAGCTGAACTGCTGAGAGAGGAGATGTGGCTCCAGGAGCTTGGGGCCCAACAGAAGACCCCAAAGCAATGAGATTCAAACTGTGCTGTCCAGTAATTCAAGCTATTGAATTACTGAATGTTACACGTGGAAAAAGCTGGTATAATGAAAAATGGTCCCTACGCAGCTTAGGCAGAGCCCTAAAGAGGTGTTGCTTGTTTCTTCCCAGAACATTACCTATTGCCAGTTTATCCCCCAGTCCTAGAGGAAACCTTTGTGTGACCAGTTTCTATAGGGGGCGTCCTTGGTGTTGGTTTTTTTTTTTTTTTTTTTTTTAAGGGAAGGAAGAAAAAGACTCTGAACGCACACAGAGAAAATGCTAATGATGTTCAGCTCCGTTTCATTGTCAGGAGGGACACAGGAGGATAAAAACAGAGCTCTCCAAACCTTTCTCCCTGCTCCCCTCCTCCCAGCACCACCATCCATCCCTTCCGCTTGATGTGTCTCTGCGCTTTGTTCTAATTTATCCCATGCATAATTTATTCACGTGTGTATTGTTTCCTGATCAGCAACTTTTAAAAACAAATGAAACATATAAGATGTTCTATGAAACAAGTTGTTTTTCAAAATAAAGGTAGATGATGTAGGTCTCCCTGTTACGTCGTGCATGCTCCTGCGTTAGGAGTTTAAAAACCGTCTAGGGCGCTGGAGGCTCGGCTGGTTCGTGGTATTGTTTACACCCACTTACCCCGAGGGAAAAGGGTCGGGATGCAAAAAATGAGCGGCTAATTATAAATGACCATTCAAATGCCACCTAGAAAAAGCCGACTGTAGTGTCGTGTGTATGCTAGTGTATGTGTGTGTATGTGTGTCGACACGGAATTACAAATACATCACATTGCAACTGTTTCTAATTATACAAAGTACAAGTGTAATAATTCAGAATTAATTGCAATAACCAGCCCGCGACTCTGTCCCTTTCTGCACTTCTAACCCCACCCCACACATACATCACCCCCCAAAACGCACCCTTCAGCGGTCCAAAAAAAAAAAAAAAACACAGAAACAAAAAACTGGAGAGGGCAGGAAAGAGTATAGAGATACTGTGCCCACCCGCGCGTAAGCGGGTTCCACGGTAACGAGGGTACCGCTTTCCCAATAGGAAACAAACCTGGCACACAGGCGAAATAGATTGCTCTAACTTGAGTTTACCAGGAGGTATCGGCCCCGCTATGCGTTTTCGGCTGGAAATGTGAAAACTGCAAATCAGCTGTGGGCTGGGTTAAAAACTCACAGCATCAGCGATATGGCTAGCGAGAGCGACGAGGAGAGGGGATGCCGCGAAGTTACGCCCATTTATTCTGCCATAAAACATTTGCTTTCTTGGGTGAAACGCTGTGGCGTTCAAGTGCAGTGTATCGGAGCTTCCGAGCGAGAACTGAAGCCGGAGCTGCTCTCTAATCAGCCTCAGCTTCCGATGTCCTCTTAGCAGCGTTTGTGTGGGTGTGTGTGTGTGTGTGTGTGTATAAAACTCCGAGATCTGGGACATTCCTACCCTTTTCCCCTATTGCCGATAGGAGATAGCTGGTGCAAACACTTCCCATTCTCTTGGCGCTTTCCTTCGCGTTAAGACCCCCCTCCCCGCCCCCCGCCGCTGCCCGCCTCCCACCCAGCGTGCGAACCTAGCTTTCAACTCCTAGGGGAGCCGCGGGTGCGGACGTGGAGGCGCTGAGTTGAAAGAACCAGAGTGGGCATCCGCCACGCACCGTAGAGAATTCGGCACGAAACCACCCCCCACACACACACACACACACACACCCGCACCTCCCTCTCTCCTCTCGCCCGCGGCTTCCAGCCCAGCTGCGAAGTCCTAATCCCAGGCGCGCAAAACCCCCGCCCACCCACCCACCCACGTCGCGCCGCGATCCGGAGGGAGCGCCCCTCTGCCAACATCACTGCCAGTAGCACCCCTTTCAGAGCGACGCTAGTTTTCCGAAGCCACCCCCGGCTCCGCGATCGCGAGCGGACTTGGCGGCTTAACAGTTCCACCGACTGGAAGGAAGGAAGGAAGGAAGCCAGGATAAAAAGGAGTGGGGGAGGAAGGCGGGCAGGAATTGGCTGTGGGACCCGGGGCTGGCCCCCGCGTGTCCTCGCCCAGCCCGCCCCCCTCCGTCCCGGATCTGGGCGTCCGCTCAAAGTCTCCCGGCGGCGGCCAGAGGCACCTGCCCCTCGCTCTGGCCAGGAGTAGACGCTGCCGGCTCGGGCAGCGAGTTCCCCAATAAGCTGCCTCTCGCTCGCCTCGGCTATTCACCCGCAGGAGCCGAGAACACCATTCGTGAGACCTGCAGCTCTTCCCTGTCTCTAAATCAACACCAAGTTAACCCGACTCGTTCATTTACTACAGCCCGTTCCCGGACAAACACACCCGGAGACACACCAGCGACCGCCCGAAGCGCCGTCACGTTCCCGGGGGCTGCCCCGGCAGGAAAGCCCCGGGCAACCACCTGGGCCCCAGGGCTCCCGGGACCCGCTGCTCCCCCCTGCGGTCCTCCCAACTCCGGAAGGTTTGCACAAACTCCCCGCAAGCGATCGGAAGGCAGAGAGCGCCCTGCAAACTCCGGAGCTGCCGCGGTCCGGCCGCCCCGGAGGACCTAGCAGCCGGGCGGGGGGCCGCCGGCTCCGGAGGCGCGGGGCTCAGCCAAGTGCGCCCAAGGCGGTCCCAGAGTCCGGCGCTCGCCCCCAGCAAGGCCGGCCCCGCCACCCCCGGGCCGCGCGCCGGGCTCCCCACCCCGCGAAGCCGGGGAGACTCAGGGGACCGTGCTGTCCCCGAGCTGCCCACGATCCCCTAGCTGTAGAGCTGTCGAGCGCCTGGCTCCCCTGCCGACAACCCCTCTCTTCTCGGTCCGCCAATTTAAAAGAACACAAATGTAACAATTTTCTCCTTGTTAATTGCATCTCCTGACATTTCTGCGCGTTGGGGTTTAAAAAAAAAAAAAAGATGAAGAAGTAAGAGCTGAAAGAAAAGAGAAGCCCCGCCGCGGCTGTAGGTGCCTGTAAGCGCTGTGCATTGGCAGCGCTCCGCACGCAGAAGGCGCCTTTTTTTTCATATTGAAACCACGCGGAATATGTACATTTTTTAGTCTTACTTACGCTTTCAGGGGGTTGTGAATGACAGTCGCCATTTTGCTACAATGTAACAGAATATTGTCTGTCTCAGAGTTCTAAAGGTTCGCTCAGGGGAAGCGGAGAGCCAATCAGAGTACGGGATACCGGCCCGCTGGCCAATCGGCGCGGCTGGTCGCCAGGTGGGCGGAGCCTGCACGGTGGTAGTTATTAGGGGAGCTGTCAAAGCCCAGAGGTCACTCCCTTTTGTAGAGCCCGAGAGCAAGCAGGTCTTAAAGGGGCAGTACCGCGCGAGCAGCTCCTTTTCGGGTTGGGGAAAGTGAAGACGCAAGGAGAGTATCTTAGTTTGGTTTGAATCCCTACTTTCTAAATAACTGCAGAGAGTTGCGCTCCTGGACAAAAGTACTGGATAGAAATATTTAAGTATTGCCAACAAACCGCTGAACTCCATTCATTAGCTTTTGGCTTTGCTGTTACGTTCCTAAATCCCCCAAAAGGCAAATCCCCTTGTTCCCGTGCAAAAGTTGAAAGTCTGCCGTTTCGTCTAACAAATGACTACACGTGTCCTGTCGTTTGCTAATACTCTGGGTCCTGCGGCTTTTTTATATTCTCCTTCCCGAAGTGTTGTCTTTATCTCGGGCACCTTCCTTCTTGGCTTCTTGAACTGCCGCCGCAGTTCCTGGCGACTCCAAGACAGCAGCTCCCCTCCCCCTGGAATGTCTAGGTGTCAAGCTCGCTCCCTGGGCTTTCGTTACGTAATGCGCGGTGGTCACTCTGACGGTTCCCGACTCCCCCCCCCCTCCCTTCTCTTCTCATACACACCAGAAACTTCTGAAATGGTCAGATTCCGGCTGACTTGAGAGCTAACTGGGCCCTGGCACCCTGACCTTTAGGCTTAGGGAAGAGGAGATTTAAAGGAACTTTGCAAACTTTCTGCTCCCAGGAAAGCGAGTAACCAGCCAAAAGTTGTGGAACCTAGGCTGGATGTTGCCAGGGTCTCTTTCGGGGAGTAGCACACACGATTCTGGAGTCACCTTAAGCTGATTAGATAGAAGGTGAAAAGACTTTGCTAATGAATAATCCGATGTGACCCGAGGCGTTCAGAGAGTCTCTGCTTCAAGTCAGTGAGAACTACTCACTGGTGAACCCCTGACAAAATCAGAGGACTTCTGCGAAGCCAAGCTTCCACTGGGCAGTCTGGAAGCTCTGTGGGGATGAAATCGCACTAAATCATGAATAGAGGCCTCGTTAGCATACAGAAATCTGGCTCCCGTCCCAAAGTTGTTTAATCAGGTCAAATAGCTAAGATAGTGGGGGGAGGGGTGAAAAAAGGGGAGAGGGGGTGCCAAATTGCCAGTTTTTCAAAACTGTGCCCTCTCACTTCCTTTCTTAGTGCTGCTCTCAAAGCAATGGATACAATAAATAAAAATTGCTTTATGTTCCAGAACTTTCAGAGTTCAACTCCATACACTATTAGAGTTACAGATAAACAGAAGAGGACTGAATCAGTATGTTTGTAAGACGACATTTTTAACCCCTTCTTTCTGCCAAGTTAATAACAGAGTCAAGTTCTATAGATTGCTTTGTAACTTTTTTTTTGAAGTACAGTTGATTTACAGTGCTGTGCTCATCGCTGCTGCACAGTGGTTCAGTTATACATATGAATCCTTTTTTAAATATCCTTTTCCATCATGGTTTATCACAGGATATTGAATATAGTTGTCTATGCTACACAGTAGGACCTTGTTTATCCACTCTATGTATAGCAGTTTATATCTGCATTGTACATCTGCTAACCCCAACCTCCCTGTGTAACTTCTTGCACAGCATCTTACAATTTGAAAAGTTATTCCCCTTTTCTGAAATTAAAATTTGAAAAGTCTGGTCCTTTATTAATTTGTCAAGGGATTGCTTCAAAAGCTAATACTTTGCCTGTGATGGGCCTTGACAACATTAAAAAACCCAAGAAGTATGAGTTTGAACTATCAGTCAGAACTCCCAAAGCCTCTTTGAGATATCAAAAGCACAGCACAAGGAGCTCAGTTCAGCGCTCTGGGATGATCTAGGGGGGTGGGCTGTGCGCGGTGGGAGGGAGGCTTAAGAAGGAGTGGATATAGGTGGACTTGTAGCTGATCCATGTTGTTGTACAGCAGAAACCAACACATTGTAAAGCAACTATCCTCTCATTAAAATTTTTTTTAAAAGCATAGCAATTCAGATTGGAAGGCAAAGCATGCTTTAATATATGCACTTGATAAATAATCAGAAAAAGTAGGGCCTGCCCTGAACAAGGCTTACAATAGGAGAGGGAAAATATATTTATATTACATATTACATACTCTAAGCATGTATAGTCATTTATTAAGACCAAGATGCAGAAACAAGCATAATCCCTAAATATCCAGTACATCTGAAAATGGCAGACTAGATCTGTCTCCACTGTGAGGAACTAATCCAGAATTTAAGCATTTATGTTATATATTATAATAATTGAATTGAAAAAATTACGAATTAAAGACAGGATTTTGGTTTCTTAAGTAGCATAGCCTTGCCTTTTATAATTTAATGGAATGCCATTTTAACTCTGTCAACATAGGTATGACTTTTAAGTAAGCAGAATTGTTGTGAATTCACCTTTTATCAATTATAAGACATATAAGATTTATTATTAATTTAACTTTGGTTTTTATGTCATAGATCAAGATTTTTTTCTACAATAAGGTAAGTTCTGTCAATTTGCAGATAGTCTGACCCATCTGCAATGAGGCTAGATTGTTCAAATAGGACTTAAAATGTACTGCTCTCACCCCACAAAAAAACACATATTTTTTGCCAGAATGCTCAAAAGCAAAAGAACTTAGAGTAGACAGGTTTAAATAAGACCAGAACCCTAAAAAATTGGGAAGAATGTTAAATTTTACTTTAATTTTGCAAGGAAGTGCCGTATATGATTTAGAAGCTTGGGCCCTGGAATTCACCTGCTTGAGGTCACCATTTGCCGGCTGGGTCATCTTGAGCAAATTTATTTAGGAATTTGAATGTCTCAGTCTCCTCATATGATAAATGGCAGTAATAATAGAACGTACTTGAATGAAGTAATGCATGTTAAGTGTCTGGCACATAGCAAATGCTCAATTAAGGCTGATTATTAATTTTTATGTAGGTATTTATTTATTTCCTGATGGCATAGGAATGAAGGGGATCCAAATAAAAAGACATAACAGAGAGTGAGTGTCCATCAAGTTTAGATTTTTAAACTCATTAATCCAAGAAAAATAAGCAAAGAACAACTTTGATGAGAATGAAATAATAAATAGGACTAATTGAGTTAAGGGTCATATAATTACTTAAATCCCCTAAATGCCCTCTTCCTGCTGTAATATCAAGATATTTTTAAAATCCCATGTCTAAGGCTCTATAGATAGTCATATATTTGAATATACTCCACCACTCCCCAAAGCTTTCAGCTTGATTTAGTTGGTTAGGTGACTTCATCTGAAGGACAGAGTAGGCCCAAAGTAACCACTTCCCCGCCCCACCTGGAGAGTCTAGAGCTGTGCTGTCTAATATGGGAGCCGTGAGTCACACATGGCTCCTAAGCATTCGAAACATGGCTAGTCTGGATTCAGATGTGCTGTAAGTGTGCATACACACCAGATGTCATAGACTTAGGACCAAAAAACAATGTGAGATATCTCATTGATAATTTTCATATTGATTACATGTTGAAATGAAAATATTTTTAATTTACTGAGTTAAATTTAAAATGTTATTAAAATTAATTTTACCTCTTTCCTTTTAGTTGTTTTAATGTAGCTACTAAGAAATTTTAAAATATTCATGCTGTGTTTCTGTGGTACGGCATTGCTCTAGACAGTGTATCTGACCAGGGAAAGAAGGCTGAGGCCTTTCTCAGTCATGTTAATCCATCCCATGCAGTCCTCTCAGATTCAGCTTTGACATCAGTTAGCAAATCTCCCTGGTCCAGTTTAAGCATGTATTCCACGCCACTCATCCAAAGTACCATTTGGGGTGCAACCAAGGACCCAGGTACCTGAACCACTAGGGGCACTGGAATCTGTTTTCTCTTAAAAAGTTTGAAGACTGTCTCAGCAGACTGAATCAAAGCTGTGAGGAGACGATCATCCAGAAACAGGGGAAGAATGGCATTTCTGTAGCAAGTGTCAGCCTTTCCACCTGACTTTTGTAAGACAGAGAAGTAAGAGAAGGAGATACAGGCCTCACAAATAGCCAGAGAGTTCAATGAAAGAGGAAGCTCACCACAAAAGCCATCCAAAATAAAGGCAGTTCCCGGCAGGCTCTGCAAGCTGAAGGAGTCTGAAGTCCTGTGGGTGTTTAAAAAACAAGAACAAGCTCTCCCTCAATCCCTCCTTTCATCCCCAGAACAATCAGTCATGGCCTTGGCAGCTGGTTGGCCATGCTGGTTCCCCTGAGATCCAGAACCAGCTCTGGTATATTATAGGCACTGAGCTGAAGAGGTGCGGGCACCGAAACTGTAATCTGATGACTTCCCTGGTAGTCCAGTGGTTAGGACTCCATGCTGCCAGTGCAGAGGGTACAGGTTGCAGGTTCGATCCCTGGGAAATTAAGAAAGATCCCACATGCCACATGGCACAGCAAAAGACTTTAAAAAAAAAAAAAGACCACAATAATCTGGTTTTCTCTCTTCTTGGGGCTGTAGGTGGTGGTGGTATTCTTAACCCATTAACAAAATCTCAAAGCATAGAAAAAACAAATCAAAGTCTGGATATGGGAGATGCTCCTAGGGTCTCACCTCTGAAACCTCCTATTTCAGGACAAGTTGAATTGAAACCAATGCACGCTGTTTCCACTCACTCAGTTCATTCATTCACTCATCTATCAGAGGCTTTCTATGAGGGAGGCTTTGTGCTAGGCACAGGTGGTGAAATAAAAATAAACCAGACATGGAAACAACCCTCAAAAAGCAATTCCCATCCATCTGGAGAGAGAATAAAAATAGTAGGCCCAACCCTATAAGCAAGTAGTGTAATTACTTGATGTGACTTAAAAGGGAAAA